GCTAACTGGAGCCCTCACGCCGATCACTCACAAGATCCACGCGACGCCGAAGTCGCCGTACGACGCGCACGTCACGCCTGGGCACGCAGGGGGGCGCTTGCGCGCCGAGCACAGTCCAGAGCGGGCCCGGCTCGCGCGGGCGGCGTGAGGGGCGAGGACGTGCGCAGGCGATCTTCTTTAGGAGGAGGAGGAGGAGGAGGAGGAGGAGGAGGAGGAGGAGGAGGAGGAGGAGGAGGAGGAGGAGGAGGAGGAGGAGGAGGAGGAGGAGGAGGGGAGGGGAGGAGGAGGAGGAGGAGGAGGAGGAGGAGGAGGAGGAGGAGGAGGAGGAGGAGGAGAGGGATGGGGAGGAGGAGGAGGAGGAGGAGGAGGAGGAGGAGGAGGAGGAGGAGGAGAGAGGAGGAGGAGGAGGAGGAGGAGGGAGGGGAGGGGGAGGAGGAGGAGGAGGAGGAGGAGGAGGAGGAGGAGGAGGAGGAGGAGGAGGAGGAGGAGGAGGAGGAGGAGGAGGACGAGGCGGAGGAGGAGGAGGCGGCGAGCGAGGGGGGGAAGCGAGAAGGAGAAGGCCCTCTCAGAAGGCAGCGGGGCCTCTCAGAAGCCCGCTGGCCTCCCGAGAAGGCCCTCGGTGTCGCCAAGGGTAGGCTCCGACAATTGCGCAGGAGGAGGAGGAGGAGGAGGAGGAGGAGGAGGGGGAGGGGAGGAGGAGGAGGAGGAGGGGGAGGGGGAGGAGGGGAGGAGGAGGAGGAGGAGGAGGAGAGGAGGAGGAGGAGGAGGGGAGGAGGAGAGGAGGAGGAGGAGGAGGAGGAGGAGGAGGAGGAGGAGGAGGAGGAGGAGGAGGAGGAGGGAGGGGAGGAGGAGAGGAGGAAGAGGAGGAGGAGGAGGAGGAGGAGGAGGAGGAGGAGGAGGACGAGGCGGAGGAGGAGGAGGCGGCGAGCGAGGGGGGGAAGCGAGAAGGAGAAGGCCCTCTCAGAAGGCAGCGGGGCCTCTCAGAAGCCCGCTGGCCTCCCGAGAAGGCCCTCGGTGTCGCCAAGGGTAGGCTCCGACAATTGCGCAGGAGGCCAGGGGACTTCCGACCCTTCTGAGAAGGCCCGCCCCGTCTCACTCCCCCCCCCCCCGCGCTCGCCGCCAGAGGAGGGGTCCCCTTGCGCAGCCAGCGCCCGCACTGGAGACGGGCCCCAGACCTTCTCCGGCACGGCCTCTGCCCGTCGGCGGCCCCGGAGCTCCCGCCCCCCCTCTGCCCCGGGGGCAGCTCTGCGCCCTGGGTCCGCTGGTGGTGGTTGCGGGAGGCCGCAAAAGAGGCCCCAGAGGCCGAAACGGAGGCAAGACGTCCGAAATGGAGGCAAAACGTCCGCTCGTGGTGGTCGCGAGGAGGCCGAGAAAGAGGCTCTGGAGGCCGAAATCGACGCAAGACGTCCGGGTTGAAGGAATCACGTCGTCGTTGTGCGCGAAATCATTGGGGGCGATGAGTGGGGGTGGGGGGTGGGGGGAAGAAGGGCCCCCTCTTCGGGCCCCAGAGGCCCCCTCAAGGGGCCCTGGAAAATCCTAAAGGGGCCCCTGGAGGGGGCCCAAAGGGCTCCTTTTCCGGAGCCCTCGCCGCCCCTCCACTCATCGCCCCATGCCGCGCCCCCCAAAATCAGCGAGCGAAGAACGGTATAAGATAAACTTTTTCGCCGTCGGGGACACCTGCCCCTGGGCAGCTGGAAAGTTTATACCCCTACGGTGCCACCGTAAGGGTATAAACTTTCCAGCCGCCCTGGGGCAGGTGTCCCCGACGGCGAAAAAGTTTACCTTATACCGTTCTTCGCCCGTAAGCAAAAGCACGCCTGGACTGAAAGGACCCGGGGCTGCCGCAGAGGCCAGGGGCCGGACCACGCCGTGGAGCGGCGCCGCGCCGCCTGCCCGGGCCCTGGCCCGTGGCGAGCCGCTGGCTCCGTTTCTCTTGCCAGCGCCCGCAGCACCTCCGAGGGGGCTCGGCAGGTCCGGAGCGCCCAGGAGGTGGCGTGAGGCTCGGGCCGAACGAAAGGGGGGTTATGTTGCATCTTCGGGGGATCACATCGCCCGTCCCCAAAATTGGTGCCTTTTCTTGTGCCCGACGCGGGCTCGATGCGGATTCGACGCGGATGTGGCGTGGATTCGACGCGGATTCGACACGGATCCGACGAGTTCGACATGGATTCGACACGGATTCGACGCGGATAGGACCGCGACGGGACAGACAAGGTTCCCCGAGGATGCAACAGAAGGGGGGGGGGGGAAAGGGGGGGGTACGAAATCTGCTGCGTGCAGCCGGTGTCGGCCCCGCCGCTGGGCCCACTCCTCGATGCACAGGTGCCGGGAGGCGCTGGGAAACTCAGCCACGTGAGCTGAGCCTCTTGCTATCCCCCCTTTCGTTCCCCCCGAGAGGCCCATCAGTCACGCCTTCAGAGGAGGAAAAGAGATACCGATTTCGCCACCTTTGCCTCGTCTTCGCCTTTCTGGGCCTCCTAGGAGGCCCTCGTCACCCTGGCCAGGTTCGCCACGCAAGTCTGGTCAGAAGCTTGGGAGAGATCCGGGGAGCAGCGTCCGGGGAGCAGCGGCGTCGGTGCCTTGAAGCCGGGCGTGTCCCTCCACAGGAGGAATATGCAGAATGAATCAAAACATAGTCTGGGGACGACAGTTCGATTGTGTTTGCGACCATCTTGCAGCATTTAGGGACCAATTTTTTTCGTCCAGAATCCGCCTGTAGGGGGACATGCCCGACCTGACGGTGCCCTCTTGCCTCCCCAGCGAGGCAGGCGAGCCACGAAGGCGCGAGCTGTGGTCCTTGCTCCCCGGGGAGCCCATCGGCTTCTGCGCCCCGCCCGAGAGATCGTCGATGCGATGGGTTCCCCAGGCTTCGCTGGCTGCGACTGGTCGGCGAGGAGCAGCAGGCTGGGATCTCATGGCCGTGGCCACGAGATCTCCCAGATTTCATGGACCCCCTGATTATTATTATTATTATTATTATTATTATTAGTATTATTATTGTTGTTATTATTATTATTGTTATCACTGTTATTATTATTATTACAGTCGTCGTAGTATTCGTATCAGTATTAGTATTAGTATTAGTATTAGCATTATTAACATTAGTATTTTTATTTATTATTATTATTATTATGAATAATCTTAGTATTATTATCATTATTATTATTAGTATTATTATTCGTATTATTATCATCACCATTCTTATTACTATTCTTCAGTGCGTTCCTTGCCCGGCCCACCCCGCCCTTTCGTCCGCGCACATGCATCGGGCCATGATGCGCTGGCCCCCCTCCTCCTGGCCCCCCTCTCCGGAGCACCCGCGCAGACGCTAAGGGTTGTTGGATGAGCGCAGGATAGTCACGGGGCCCGGAATGAGGGTGCAGTGCCGTTTTTAATACATGCTCCGCGTGCGGGTCGTGTATCAAAATGCAGGGATTTAGCATTAAAAACAGCGAGGAGTTGATGCATACATGTATTCATAAATGAGTCATGTATTCAAAATCCTATATTTTTTAAAATCCTATGTATTAAAAGCTGCCCTGTACGGTGGGTTCGCGTAGTGCTGATTGGCGGCGACTCCGCCGCTGGCCTTCCACGTTGAACGCCGCCAGCAACCCAGAGTCGGTCGATGTTGGACAATCTGACGTCTCGGAAACGGCCGATCGTTCAAGGTCGAACGGTCCCCGTGGTGACAGGAGCCACCTCCTGGGTCGACACGACACAAACCCGCCGTACAGTCGGGGCGCTGAAGAAGTGACTCTTTTCGTTGGGTGGGGGCTCCGTGTTCCTTGATTGTTTCACAGTTTGCCCTACGTTTTCCTTAGGTTTTCGCCGGGAAATCGAGGATCAACTTCTGGAGAAAAGGGGCCTCGCTCCTTATTTAGGGTTCCTTGGGTCAGCGCCCCGACTGCATTGACTCATGAGGGAAGTATCGACCCCCCACCCAGCCGCCCACTCGTCGCCGCGCGGGGCCCCGACCCCCGCCCCATGGGAGCGAGCTGCCATCGGGGCCGGTCGCCGATCTGTCAGCAGCGTATCGCCGATTCCAGGCCGCTGCTCCCCCCATTGGGCCAGTCCCCTCTTTATCTAGGCCTCCCAGATGAGGTCGGAGTAGATGGGGTCGGAGAGTCGCGCCGCACCGCCCATGCGTCCCCAGTGTATCGACGATGCGGTGCGATCCTCCGACCCCATCTGTTCGGACCCCATCTAGGAGGCCTCTGACTATGCCGGTTCCCCCTTTGGCTCCGCCCCTTGTGCGAGTTACTGATGCGGAGACTGCCCGTTTCACCGCGCGCCGCCAACTTGCCCTGCGCGGCACCCTGGCGTTCCGCGCTCGCGCACCCCTTTGCGCGCGCCCCAGAGGACAATCATGTTTACGCTTTCTTCGCGGCACCTATGGCTGGCAAGGTCCGAACGTAGATGGCTGGTTTTACTTTGTGGGCGAGGGGAAGGACGAAGAGGAGGAGGAGGAGGAGGAGGTCTAGTCGTTAGGCATTTTATGCAACCTTTTGCCCCTTTTGCCCTGATGATTAATCATCCAGTGTTCTAGCGAATTCGTTTGTGAGTGCTGTTTTCCATGAGACCTCTCTTGCGATCACGATATCATGGGGGCGCGCAGGGTGGGGTGGCGTGGGGGGGGGGGCGGGGGGCGGGGGGCGGCCTTCAAGAAGGCTGGGTGATGCCAAGAAGCCGTCCTGCCGCAGGAGGCCTCAGAAGGCTCCGGCTCCCTCCGAGAGGCCCCCCTGCCATCTTCACGAGCCGGCAGCAGCGACGCACGACACGAGCTCTCGGAGGTCGGCGCGGACTCCTTGCATCGGCGCCTGCCTGGCGCGCGAAGCGCGCGAAAGGGCGGCGCTGGAAGCGCCGCCAGGGGGGCCCAGCGAAGGTCCAAGACATCCGCGCGGGCCTCCGACAGATCATGTCGATGCAGCTGCCTCTTCCTCGACGACCCCTCGGCGGGGGGGGGGCGTCCTCCTCGAGGGGCAGCGACAGGGTCCCAC